GTTACAAGATGCTCTATTAGTGAGAAGGTATGGTTCTTAAAATAATAGAAAATTCTCTTATCTTGAGGATTAAGTTCTGCACTGTATTGTTGATGCTTGATTTGTTTAAAGTGTAATTATATCTGGATCACAGACATATCTATGTGAACATATACATCACACTCAATGGATCTTATTTACAGATGCTTTGTCATTAATTCCACCATGCATTTCTATAAGAACAGGCTTTTCATCTAGGTTTAATCATTCTATTATTATTATTTTGCCGACTTTCTTAAACAGATTTATAGGATGGTTTTGCTATTAATCTAGATTGGAAGTTTTCTTCCACCATGAAGTGGCATAGACAAAAAAAGTTCCCTTTCAAGCTTTATACATAGGTTAGATAACCTGTGCCAGGTGACTCTGAAACCATATCCTTATATTGAGAGTGTTCCAAAGAGTGTGGTTTCTAGTTTTTGTTCTGGTTAGATAGCTTGCAGCAATTTCATGCACAGTTCAGACAAATTTAATTAGTAAATTCTGTTGTGAGCCTGTTTGAAGTGATTGATAATTGAGACTGATCACTTACAATTCTCCAAGGAGCAGATAATACAAAGGTGCATGTATCTGATCATCAGTGTTTGGGGCAAAATAGTGAACTTGCTACTGAAATTGTATGAGCTTCATTATATAGATGTTTGTTACAGATAGTACTTTGTAGGCCAAAAAGCAACCTAAAATCATTCCATTTCTTTACCAAGGCATGCCTTGACTGTGTTTGTTTGTCCTCTGTTGCTGCTTTTATGAAAGGTAAAGCAGACCCCTGTGAATTACCTTGTTTGATATTCCTGCTCATGTTGGTTTTTCTTTTGCTCAAACAGGATACCTTACTTGGTGATGTGGTTTCAGAGATTAAGAAGTGTCATGATGCTTCATACACTGTCTGCCCATCCGCACCATATGTCACTGGGTGCAGGATTACATTTCTCAGTTATTCACTAGAAGGCCCCAAACAATGCCAACAGCACCAGGACCCTGGAAAGATGTTAAAGTGTCATTTTTCTCCCCTCAAATTCATGCTAAAACTTAGTCATTCTTCAAGACTGCTGACTCCACAGGTTTGCTCTCATTTATACTTGTCATGGAAAGGTAGGCATGTGCTATATTAGTCCATATTACCTATTCAGACTCCATCTGTTGACAGCCAGATAAACACATAAGCTTCAGAGTGAATTTCCATATGTTCATTAAATATTCTGATCTTAAATTTCGAAAGCCCTCAGGATTAGGATTGCTAAACACTGGATTCAGACTCAGTCCCCAACTTTTGTTTTGTGGAAGCTGATAGATTAATTCACTGCAACTGGTTTTCTTCTTTCACACTGACTAAACTATAAGCCTATTTTGAAGAACACCGTGGGTCACAATAGTTTAAGAGATGTTATGATGAAGAGGCACCATTGATTACTTTTGCTGTTAAAGGAATGTCAGCAGATGCCTTTGCAGTTCAGCAGTGGATTGTACAAGTGGCATATGCCCAAGATAATGTATTCTGGGTTTGTTGTTGTTGTTGTTAGTTAGTCGTGAAGTTGTGTCCGACCCATCGCGACCCCATGGGCAACATTCCTCCAGGCCTTCCTGTCCTCCACCATCCTCCGGAGTCCACTTAAGCTCACGCCGACTGCTTCAGTGACTCCATCCAGCCACCTCATTCTCTGCCATCCCCTTCTTCTTTTGCCGTCAATTGTTCCCAGTATTAGGCTCTTCTCCGGTGAGTCCTTCCTTCTCATTAGGTGGCCTAAGTATTTGAGTTTCATCTACAGTATCTGGCCTTCGAAAGAGCAGTCAGGATTGATCTCCTCTAGGACTGACTGGTTTGATTGCCTTGCAGTCCAAGGGACTCGCAGGAATCTTCTCCAGGACCACGATTTAAAGGCCTCAATTCTTTGGCACTCAGCCTTCCTTATGGTCCAGCTTTAAAGCCTAAGCATGTAGGAAGAAACAAGCTATGGATATATGGGTTTATGTCTGTTTTTTTCCAGAAAAATGTTCTGATTTATAAATATATAGAATAGTCTATGTATGTAACACTTCTGATTGATTTAGCATGCTTTTTACACACTAACCCACTCGCTAGGTTATGTATTTGCAGTGGTAGCAGTTCTTGTTTGGTTTTGTTTTGATACTTTCTGTTTTTACAGTAGGACAGGGTTCTGGTTTCTTAAATTAAATGAGGGTATAGTATGGGATAAGTTGGTAAACAAACAAGCTCCCCCCCACACACCTCAGTTTATTCAAGAGCTGGACTATACTGCTTCTGATTTCCTTTTTCTCTTCCTTGAATAGACTGTATCCATTGTTAATTGCCAAGACTGTTCTAGCTGTTGATAGGAGATCACGATTCTGCAAGGAAGATTAGAAGAAATAGGGGAAAGCCAAATGTTACCAGTAACAAAGTCAGCTTGAACAAACCTGGAGACACATTTCAGTCAAGGCATTTTCCTACTCCTGTCTTGTCTATTTTATTTTCAAAGAAAGGTGTTTCATCTGGCATGAGTTCAGTTGTAAAGGAATGATGCTTTTTTGAATTATTATTTGGAATACTCAGGATCAAATGATTTTTTTAACATATTACTTGAGGGTTTTGTTTGTTTCTTCTGTAGCTGGTATAGCTGTTAAGTGTATAAATAAATTCATACCTTGCTTCTTGGGTTATATACTCCCTCTGAATATGTATCTTAATTTTCTTTTTCTTTTAGACAATCAGCTGAGTGGAAGGAGGTTTCTGATTTACAAAAAAGAGAGTGCTGTTAATTTCAGATGTGTTGGGCATGCTTACAGCACTATCAAGAGGATTTTGCTTTCTGCCCAAAAGCAATGGCAGTGAATTTTGAATGCCTTGTACTCTTATTAGGACTGAAGATTTTATGTCACTATAATCATTTGTTTATGTACAATAATTCTAGTGTCACTTACATAGCCACTGTCATGGTGTTGATGCTACAATAGAGTATTCAAAAATCTAGATGTTGTGTTGTCCATATATATCACTCAAATATGAAAAAACAAGGATCAGTGGTATTTGAATGTGTTTCTTTTTATACAAATAATGAAGTCACTATCATTTTAAAGATACACTGTTATATCCTTACACCCTGGAGGCTGCACAAAATAAGAGGTTTTCTGTATTAATATGAATATGCCCAAAGTAGATCTGACGTGGAGATTAGATATTACCATATATGTAAAATAAAAGTACTGTTTCTTGGCTTTTGTGGCTCATATGTGCCATAATGCTGCAGAATTTTACAGTCTTTGCACTGTCCATTAGTGGAAACATGTCCAAATGAATTCAGCATTTAATGTTAAAAATCTTATAATATGCCAGCTTGATTTGCAGCCCGTCATATCATGGAATGCTAATTAAAATCATATTTTTGCATATGTCATGCCTTTCATGTACATATGCAAATAGACTTCCAGTGCCTTTCAGCTATTAGTAATTAACTTTATGAAGGACAGCTGTAATACATAATTAACAAAAATGTTTGCAAGCCCTTTTCACACTGAAAGTAAGAGCAGTAATTTCTTTTGTGTATGTGTCTGTTTCTTTTTTCTTTTGTGTTTTGGTTATCAAGAATGCCATTTTAGTTTGAAGATTCGGTCTGATATCTATATTGCTGAAGTAACCACACGACATAATTAAATTAATGTAAAGGAGTTATCGGGCAAAATATACTCAGTAATCACTATCTGTTAAATGTATTTGTCATCACAATTATATCGAATCAAGTGCTTTATGCTTAATATAAGTTATACAGCAAGAAATTATCTTTTTACGTTTTTCTTTTTAACTATCTGCTGCTGATTGTGTCCGATTTCTCTATGAAAAGCTGTAGCCAAGAAGTGACCATGGAGTGCCTTTTTCACTCACCTCAACCCACAGCAGCAATTCTGTTTTTTCCAGCAACTTGGCTTTATGAGCAAGATTTCTTTGAGAAGTGGCTTAATTTACCTTGCCACATCTCTTATGTACATGCATATACATCATTTTTAGCTTCATAGTGAGCAACAGTGAGTGGCACCTATGTCCAACATAACTGAGGCAGATGCACATATTGCCTGAGCCAGCGAGTGTATCCACTTAAACATCTGAATGCACGCACAGTATCTAAGCTATGTGTAGTTGCTGAAGGATACATCTGTGCAGGAAATGTGAAGAGCTGCCCATAATTAACCATTTATAACATGAACCTAGCCTCAGAACCTGATGTTCCATTCCATTTTCTCTTTTAAGGTCATCGTGTTTGTGCATCACAGAAAGCCATGTTGTTTGTCTCGGTTTCAAGTTATCTGAAAACATATAAGGGTTTTTTTCTTTCTTACTTAGCTCTTCTAGTGAACACTGCGCAAAGCTGTTTCTGTTATAAATCCAAAAGGACTCAGGGCATGTTACTTCCCAGTGTGGGAGCAGCCCCCATGCATGTAAGGATCTTCACAAGGCATAAAAGGGCCTTTTATACCTCCTCTCAGGTACACTCAATGTGCAAAATTTTTGGAGAATAGGACATCTTCTTGTGTGCCCCACATTCCCATGTAGCCCTCACCCCTCCACTCAATCAGCTGTGAGGGACAGAAGAGTTAGTGATAAAGAGGAGTTCATGGACTTCCTGCTATGGCCTTTTCTGGCACCTTCACCTGTGTGTCAGAGACACAGGTCCTTGTTAGGCCCTGTTATGCTTTTGTTCATATAGGTTCTGTACTGACATGGGGCAAGATCATGCCCTTGATGTTCCTTACCTCGCAGGAGCCTGAGGATGAACAATAATCTCTTTTCTGGGCTCTCTATATTTTATACAAACAAATATAAAATTGTTTATTAAGGATTTTTGCATTGTTTTGTGGTGTCTACTTGCATTCTACTCTTTAGTCATCACAGAATTTCCAGATCATGCTATCTTTGGCATTATGTCTGTTTTTTAAAATTTTCTCTAAGTACGAAATTCTTTGTTTTTTAGGGTGGCATTTGTCATGAAGAAACACTTGAATACTCATTTACTGGGGAAACATGGAGTTGGTACACCAAAAGAAAGGTAAAATAAAGTAACTTGCTGTTTTATTATTTTCTTTATTTGTCAGTAAAGCTGTAGCTTAAAGACAGTGCTGGATGTGTTATACAAACCTGCATCCATGTTTGTGTTTATGTGTACAGAAAGCCAGAAGTGGTAAAGATGCATCTTCACCTGTATAACCTGACCTGTTATGTTTCTTTTCCCAACTTTTTCCCACTTTCATCCCAGGAAAACAAAGAAGTATAGGCAGGTAGTGAGATATTTTCAACTGTATTTTATACATACTGGAACCAGGTATGTGACACAGTATGACAGGAGGTGGAGGCACAATACCAGTAATATTCCTGCCATCTATAAGGTATCAATTGACTATATGTTGAAGACATAATCAAAAGGAAAGTTCTGAATAACACTTCAATATCTATTCTTAGTAGCAGGGCTGACGACTTTAATCGGAAGTTGGAAAGGGATTTTGTAGTCAGACTGTTAGAGTTCCTCCAGTGTTCAAATTCCTTCCATCAGTCAAAACTTTTCCAGATTTGACGTCAATAATTTCATGGTCTAGGCTTGAGGCAGAAAGGTCATATATATACAGCTTTTATGCTTTCTAAAATGTTCTTCATATAGAAGATGGTACCAATTTTAAGTTCCATTCGAAACAGTTATTGAGGGTATCTCTTTATGGAATTGACCGGAGGAAAAGAAATTGCCCCTTTGCAGTGTCTCCCATTATACTGTTGTGGTTACAGGATGTTGCCTTGCTTCGGAACGCATGAGGGTTAGAAGTCTTTTGTCTTCTGGAATAGGGTCAGCTTGAACATACCTTAATGTTTTGTCATTCTTTTTTGTCCTTGTTCAACAGAAGCCAATTTTAGGTAAGGGTGAGAGGAAAACTGCATATATTATCCCTATTAAGGGTGCATATGTGATAGAAAGAAATCTTGCAGTGGTATAAAAAGCTAATGCACCAATTTTCACATCAGACTGGCTTTCAGCTAGTGTTTAGTTTAAGAGATACAAATCTTGACCATTTTCACCTCAGCTTTTGACTATGGCTTGGTTTTGCTACAGATAGAAGGGAAGGAACAAATTATTTGAAATTTTTCCTGCGTGATAGTCTTAAATTACTTCCAGCTAGGAATTAGAGATTTCTTAGAGATTTGTAGGGAGGATTTCAGTTAAGGTAGCTGATTCTAATAAAATTTGGGAACCTCTGCCTATTTAAATCATATTCACAGTTTGGGTTGATATTGTCTTAAATATTTATCATCACCAGATGTTGATGTTCACAGGTTCTTTCCCCCTGGTATTACCTAATCTGTTTTTAAAAAGAGAACAGGCCCCATTACTGGTATCTGAAGCCAGCAGCTGTTCATCTCTGTTAAAAAATATTTTTCTCTTGTTACTTATTGTTGATTCACAAAAAAGATAGTACTTTGATTTATGACAACTGTGATTCTTAGGAATTTGTGGCAAGTAGTCAGAAACACATAAGATCAATAAGGTTAACATTACATATGGGATTACAGATACCTTCAGAGGTCTATTAAATTAGTTTGTTCTTGTTTTTCCTATTTTTATCAGTACATACATTATGCCCATTAGTTTTTATTTTTTAAGTTGGTCTCTGGAGGTTTTAAAAAGATGGGTGTTTCATTAGTTATCTTCCAGTCCTATTTTATATCAGTGGCTATTAAGATCATTTCTTGTGCAACAGTTTTCCTATATGGAAGTGTCTAACCAAGACAATTTCATTATAACTCAGCCAAAGATTTATCATATCTTTCTTTGAGGCTTTGCTGAAGTTCCATACATAGGACCCCACTGCTTATTTTCTAGCTTGGAACCTTTTGAAACAGTGCTGGAGGTGAGATGTATTCTTCGCATTGTGAATGCTGTTTACTATATATGTGCCAATGGCCAGAGAATGCCTCCCATTCAATTCTCCTAGTAAGAGAATCACTGCCACTATCAATTATAGTTTCTATAGGGTGCCAGTCCAGCACTCTAACAATTATGCCACACTGGCTCTAACTAGTTCACTTTGTTTATTTTCTTGACCATAAATCTCAACAAAACAGAATAAAGGTAAGTTCTAGACACAACAAATTTAAAATGTTGCCCTTACAATAGTCTGCTTCATGTGTATGCCCATATATTTCTATTTAGTTGTCTTGTAGAGGGAGATCTTTCATTAGGTGAGAAGTCCTTTGTTTTCTTGCTCTCTTCTTTCTTTGTATGCCTATGGAGTAGCAGGATTTCTTTAAAAAGTTGGTTGCTTCAAGTGGGCATCCTACTTCAACTTGCACAGTGTGGAAGCCAGTGCTCTTTGCCAGGACTTCACTGAATGCTGGAAGTGATATATCAGAGCTTCCACAAAGGAAACAGCTTCAGAGAACTGTCAGAACGTATTCTTCAGCAGTCTAGAGCCTTCTTAGTTTCTCCTAGCTGGACAGGCACCTTGACTTCAATTCCTGCTTCTGAATGTTATTCTTCAAATGGTTTTCTGTGCCTTCATGCATCACACCCTCCTATTCCACTGTAGAATTATTCTGTTAAGAACTAAGGTGACTTACAGTCGCTATAGGATGACAGTTTCTCTTCAGCACCTGGATTATTCATAAAACTCATAATAGTGAGGAATTGATAGGAGTTGAGGAGGGTATCGGTGGCTACCAGGATTGCTGGCTGAGTGCCACCTCCTTCATCAGGGCTAGCCTGCATATACTGGATGCTGAGGAACTTGGGCAGGCAGAGTTCTTGCCACCATCTTGCTTGAAGGATCTTGTTGACAACTGGTCTGCCATCTTGTATATGGAGTGCTGCATTGGGTAGAACTTTGGTCTGATCCAGCATGGCTTTTCATATGGTCTTGTGAGTGTCTTTCCTCATTAGAGATGTGGAAGGTTCTAAACTCAAGCCTTTACAAGTACAATCCCCCATATGCATGACTTGGACAACAGCAGGTGCAGGTAAACAACCCTACAATATTCAATAATAATTGAAAATGCTTTGAAAAGTATAATTCTCATGTATACCAACAAGCAAAACCGTCTGATAAGACTGCACATGGGATTCTCAGGTTTGAGGAGAGACCAGGATAGCTTCTGCAGTCCCTAATGAAATTAGTGACTTTGCTGGAGAAAGGGCAAATAGTATCAAGGACTGGAGATGAATATTTCCTAAGAGCTCTCAGAAAGCCATCCCCTCTCCCAGCTAGAGTGAGGTTGGGGATCTCGTGCATCCCAGGAAAAACACACACAGTAGCATCTCCAAGAAAGTGTTTTATACAGGAGGGCTGGTCTAGGAACATGAAAGGATTCTGCAGCACTTTCTTCTAGTGTTTTATTTCTTCTCCAGCTCTCCAGAAATCCATCTTTCTACTGAGGAGCAGCCAGTTACTGAATAATTATCATAAATACTACATCGAAGTAACTTATGCCACCCTTGTGACTGTGTGTACTGTAAAGTATCATGCCACAGATATTCAAATGTACCATCTGAGCCTAGGAGGTATGATTTTTAGTTGTCACCCCAGATACACACACACACACACACACACACATATTCCATGAGTACTATAATCTCCAGCTATATAGAGCTGGGTTGCTGTTTTCCCTGTTTGTCGCCCATAGCCCGGTGAGGCTTTTTGACTAATCAATCAGTACAAGCTTGCAGAAGAGTGGCATGATTAAGGATTTTGGTGAACTGAGTTTTTTTGTAGCATCTCAAACCCTTGTGGCCTTAGGAGCAAAGGTACAAGATCAGAGCACCCATGGGGCACTTAAACTTTACTTGGACTGCACTGAGACAAAGTGATGGGGATGATGGGTACAAGAGTTGTCTTTTTTTAAAAAAGCAGCCCCTTTTGAAAATGTACAGTTTTCATGTTGATCTTGCATTCAAAGAACAATTATGTGGGGCGTTTCCTCTTAAGCCTGACAATTGTGACAGAGTTGCAGCCGTAGTTTAATTTCCCACTACTAATCCTTGCTAGTTATGGCTTGGATTTAACTCTAGGACAAGAAGTGCTGAAGTGCCCTTTTTCCCATTCCATTTGCCCTCTACTTTAAGGACCAATTAATCACGTTGTTGAATTAGAAGCATAAGATATAAGATTTGAAAAAATTAAAAAAGCTTTCATTAAATACATTGTTGTAGATGATTTAGCTCTGCATTCTGCCAACCTGCCTTCCAAGTTTGTCACAAAACCTACTGAAAACAATAACACCACACACACGACATGATTGTATAGTGAATACAAAGGGTAGCAACCAAAGCACAGTGTTTACTCTTTATCTGCTTATTATTGCTCTATCATTTTCTAAATTACGATTTGGCATCAGTTTATTACCAATAGATAAAGTGCTAGATCTCGGCCAGGCTTAACTCATGTAGCTTTTAAGATCCGTCTCAACTGTCTGGATACTCAAGGCCTCATCCCTTACAAGCACTTTGCATGTGTGTGTGTACACACACAAGCCCTACACACAAGTCCTTCATGTGTAAGCTCACACACACATATAAAAGCAGGAAACCACTAGTGCGGCCCTTTTGCATTGCACCTTTTTGTTGAACCAGACTGATCTGAATTGTCTCTCTAACTGTTGCAACATTCCCTGTAAGGCAGGTGAGTATTAGAGCAGGAGGTTGAGATGGAATATGGCGTGCCTAAAACCTGCCAGTAAATTGATAACCTAGAAATTATTTTAACCATGATTACAATTCACCTTCTAATGATAATGAAAACCACAGTAAACATATTTTAATGAAACCTGCCCCATGCCTAGACACAAAATGGTTTGAAGGTAGTAACTAATACACAAACAAATGGAAGTATGAAGTAGCCATGTAGGAAAAAAATGGTTGCAGATTCCAAGAAGGTGACACAAAAATCCTCAATCTTTGCCATTTCTTTTTCCTGGGCTATATTGGTAAGCACAATAACAGCATTCTGCCTAAAGTAGTTTGTATGATCACACATACATTGCATTATACAAAATACTAAAGTTAGCCAAATA